TAAATCCAGAACTAAGAATAAACTCAGACTCTCCGCTGCATGAAACTACTTCACTATTGTTTGGGAAGCTTACAACTTGGCACGTTCAACTAAGCCTACACATTTATAAGTGAGTGGAGTTATAAGGATTCTAATTTTATTTTCTGGCTCTCTCCGCTGATTGGAGCCTTTCTTATCTTCTGTCTGGACTGGCATATTGTGGAACTTGGGAAAAAAACAGATTAGCAGGTAAATTGCACATTTTAGAAGCAGAGATGCATTTGAATATAAACTCCAACAAAGCGTTCAACAAAACATACTCCACCTCGCCTTTGTCCTCATTATATAATAGTCATATATTCTATTTTTATTGAAGAAGTTTAGTTAATCATGTTTTGAAGTTACTGTTAATATCATGTTCGATGTAATCAGTTCTTGGATTATTGAAACAAAATTAACTTTCTAGTATCTTGGTATGTACATACGTTTGAACATAAGTTTCCAAGTTCTGAAAAACTAAAAAGCCTTAGTTTTTCATATTAATTGACAATTATAAATAAATTAGGAAATACTTGGTTTCATGTGAAAAGTACCTTTATTTTGTATCACGTCCATGACCTGCAGTTTTGAACCAGTCTTGGATAATCAAGCAGAGTTCATCTCTGCATTATTATTTGTAACATTCTAAGTCAGGTACAGCATTCAAATTACTTAATTTTTTCAAAATTTTAAAAGTCCAGTACAGAAACCTGCAAACAAGTGGTTCAATAAAACCATATTTGAAGTTTACCCTTTAAATGGCACTGAACTAAGACGAGGTAAAAGATAAGAAAGATATCTTCTTAATAGCCAGAGCTAAAAACAAGGTTCTCTGGGATTCCAAGCTTTCTAAGGTGACAAAGTAACTGTATCTAGCTTTAGTGGTTCATGAGATCCAGTTCGCCTGGCATATGTTGGTGTAAATGTTGTGTGTGAGATTGGGATGGCCAAAAGCCAAGGGTGGTTGTGCAAGTTTTCCAAAATGAATAAATTCACAATCGTCATACAGATACATACCATTGGTTTTCTTTGTGTTGTGTGGATTAATGAAAAAGCAATGACTAAACGGATAAATGTATAAACATGGATTTTATCTCGCGTGACGCTTTCAGAAAGGAGGTTTGATTATAGCCACCTTTATGTGAGGTTATATTTAAGTCTTACGCTTTCAAGAACAATTGAATTATTGTGATCTTGGCCATTATACTAACCTGGTTCAAAAATATACTATGATTTATACCTGTTTACTAACACTTTCCTTTGTAACAAGCCTAGAAAACAGGGGGGTACTTGATGGCAGCATCTGACAGCTGAAGGAGAGGGGTCAGGACTTTGAGGGAGCCTTCTCCAGATAGAAAGGGGAGGCAGTGGTGGTCTTCACCTGCAGTATGTATATGTTCATAAGATGTAGTGCATCATGTCTGAGCAAGGACCAGTTCTCTTTTATTGCCTATCTGCTTCCCTGGGGATGGAGTTCTAGAGTGTAGTCTGCCATTTCTTCACCTGCTCTAGGGGTAGTTGGTGTTAGGTGTGGCACTATGTGAGAGAAATAGTGTCCCCCTGCTCTAGGACCCTTCTCTGGAGTACAGATGAAGAGGCCACGCTCACTCCATCCCTAGAGGTGGTTTCCTCCCCTCTGTGTAAATGTTACAAATTGCACATGTCGAGCTACCTTGATACATCCAGGAGTCTCAGTGGGATTGTGGAATTCCTTTCTTCCATCTCCCCCAGTTGGCCCAGAGAATGGGGAGCCAAATGCAAATGTCTCCCCTCTTCCTAAAGAGAGAGAACCTCTAGGGTTCAAGACTCTGCTGCCACTACCAAACCAGAACTTCCTTGTCTCTGTTAGGACAGTTCTCACAGTGGTGGAAGAGAGAGAGAGCAAGGAGGAGGAGGAAATCTTGTTGGTGAAGAGCAGAATTATCAAACTTCAGAACATGTTTGCATATTTTATATTTGCAATCACAACTTCATTTCGTTTGGGATGGCCTTCCAAATGAAACCAAGCACACTGGATAAGCATAATAATCAGATGTCAGTGACACTGATGGTGATGAAACAGTTGGTAACTTAAATACCAGAGTTGTTAGACTTCAGTTTACTACCCCCATTGAAATGAACTTGGGGAAATTTACACTTCTTCTGGTGCTATTGTTGCATTTTATTCCAAGCAACACTCTTATGTTCTGAAGGTGCTTAGAAATTTCTGTTAAAGGAAGATTCACTTTCATGGAAAACCTCAAGGTTATTATGAAGGAGACCTTAAATAATTGGAATTTGAAGAATTTCCACATATTGATTTCTGATATCTTGCTGTGAGGTCATTTAAAGTGGGCATATTTAGTAAGATTTAAATAAAGAGATGAGTTGTCTACTTAGGTGCATGAAACAAAATGTTTTGTAAGTGAATTTGTTAAATGTAAAAACTAGCCTCTGCACTGTGGTGGACAAAGTGCATAGGAAGTTTGAACCCTAAAAAGCAGCAGTTTTTGAGTTATGGCTTCTCAAAGTTAGATACTTTGTTAAAAATCAAGCACTAACTTCTCAGAGCCCTATAACTCAA